CATTCCTCTGTTATACCACACTTCACTCTTATGTTGTATTCCAAAACTTGTATATACATAACATTACGTATGGTCCAAATAGGATGCTGTAATTGGATCTGCACCCTTGCAGGAGTAATGAAAAGATATGTGGTACCAACAATGCCTGATCAAACCAAGCAAAAGATATGTCAATTTTGATATATAAAAATCTGTGTTAACAGAAGGTTGGTGATGTACATGGAGCCTTTTATTGTGACAATTTCCAGTGGGAAACGTGGAAGTATAGAATGTGGTGCCAAATGGAACATTTATCTTACTTTCCACCATGGGACTTCGTATAAAATTTAATGTTTCAAATTTCTTGCATGAGTAGCTTTTAATTTTCTTTAGGCCTGTACAAAGTGTTAGGAAGGCCCCCCAGAAGCTTGTTCAGGAACTGCATTGAGCATTTTTGTTAAAATCTCTAAAAAAGAAGCTGAGTGATGTTTTTTTTTCATTTCTCAAGTACACAATGAAATGCAAATAATGGGAAGAGGAATTTTGCACAATTAATAAGGAAATATTCTGACTCATACCAATGTTGTTACCTTTTGTCCTGGACATGCTACATTGTATTCTCATGGTTTTTCGTCCGCAGACTTCAGGTGTTGGTTTTGGGCGCTGAGAAGTTAAATACTGAGGACGTTTCTGTTAGACATTTGCTTAATCAATGCAAAAAATGTTATAATTCCCTACATAATGGGAATTTCCTATTTGTGACATTTGTAAGTTAGTCAAAGGTGAGCATCACATGATCCCTTAGATATAATTGATGAAAGATTAAATTGGAATTCTGGTTAGGTTAGCTTTTACAAATGCAAAATATTGTATGTAATTTGGATCGAGGAAATGGAGGTGCTGATTACAACTGTATTTGCATAATGAGAACAGATAAAATGACATTTACATAAGATCTAAATATCATGAGGTAGAAGATCTCCGAACTCTTGTTGGTTTTGTCATAAGGTGGTGCTCCATTTTCTTCTTGCTCTTATGTTGGACCAGACATTAAATGTAGATTCAATCTGTTCTTGGTAGATTCTACAGTGTGATGTATAGAAAGTGCAATTTTAAGTATAGCCTGGAAATCAGGGTTAAATCTGTCCTCTTCTCAGAATTTTGGATCATGGCAAAGTTAATTTTTGTGATATGGTTTTCCTGCTGAGATGCATCCTCGGTAATATAGACACAGACCAATGGTTAGCAATTCAGCTTCTGTATTACAACTTATTTACAAGGTTGTCATTTTCGATCAGTCTTGGCTATTCTGAACCCTAACTGGTAAGCATGCTACTGGTGCAGCAGAGGGCACCTTAAACATGTTGAAAGTGTACTGTACCATATATGTTTACATGTAGCTGTGGGGAAAGAAAAAGTCCCATCTTATTTTGATTGTCCATGTAACACTGGTCAGTTTAAATTGGGAAGTTCAGTTTCCCGATTTCAAGGCGGCCATCTTGGTGATCCAATTTTCTAACTTTTTTTCTACTGAAGATACAGTTCACTTTTACATGTCATTGGAAAGAGCACGATTTCCCTTTCACCATGATGTCTTTAATTTGGTCATAACATGTAACGTTACGGAAAAATTCCATTTTGAAAGTTGCCCAACCCAGTGGTCTATTGCAATGGACCACATGAACAAGTAACAGCCAATACTGGCCCCTTCGTAGACCATGTGGCCTAGCATAGGCCCAGCCCAGTGCAAATGAGTTATAATTGGCCCA